CCCCAAAACATGCCAAGGTAATTTCCTTAAATAGTTTGGCGAACAGAAGTCTTGGCTGCCAAGTAGAATCTGACAGCTCTGACAACATCCAGAGTCCTTTTTGTCAGCCTTCTGGTCCTTCCTCTCACTCCACCTTTTCCAGGTGAATCAGACCGCTTTTTGTAGGGCTTTCAGCCTTGGGGAAAAGGTCCCCCCTTTCCCTATAAGAGTTCATTCCACAAAGTCTGTTGGTGTCTGTTAGACTTTTCAGCATCAAGCATCCCCTTCCAGATTTGCAAGGCAAATATTCTCCAGATCCTTGTTTACTTGTGGGTCTGTTGGCACTTCTTTTTTCCACAGTTTATCGTTTGGGGACTTTCGATAGTCTATGAATACAAGTACTATGTTCTCTGTGGATGTTTTATATATAGGTATGTTTTTCCAGTTTGTAACAATGTATATATCATATCTGGCCAATTTCTCTGGAAGCTGGAAATGACTGAAATAGACACTGCTACTCCTGTGATCTCCATATTCTGCTAGGTCCTGTGCCGAGCAGCTGCACTGCTACATTCTGAACACAGAAGGTCAGACACTACTGCACCTGTACATTTCAGAGAATGTTTTTTGTGTTTTATTAATAAATTCAAAGTGTTCTCTGATTGGACAAGGTAGTAAGTGTGACGTTGCTGCCCTACTCCTCTCTCCCTTTATTTCTTGGAACACTGGAACGGCCTCCTAGAACATGTGACTATGCACTTCATCTCAGGGGGAAGAAAACATTTAGTTTTGATAAAATACATAAGTAGATTAAATTATCTTTTTTTGTTTTTTTCTTAGAGTTCAGGTTAAAACCTTGCCATCTGCCATGTCTGAATTAGTTTATAGGTTTTTTTTTTTAGATCTGTTAGAATTTGATTAAACTGATATCATGCTATTTTTTAAGGGAATGTGTAGTGTTTTTTTTAAAGAGGAACTTTAGTCACGCCTCTGAATTTTATTTTTATTTTTTTAATACATTAATTAAATTTTTAGTTCCACTTACCTGTCATGCAGCATTGTTCTGGATTCAGATACTAACATGGATCCAGCATTGTCCTGCACTGCCAGCGGAAGCTGGTTGCCTCTTCCAGGTTCAGGCAGCTGGCCTCCAATGATTATCACAGCTGCACCCACCAACAACTCTTATTTCCTACTCCTGCAGCCTCCGGGGATATTTGATGTGGAATCCCAAGATGTTGAAGCAGGGACACATCATTCTCGCTTAGATGAGGACGGTGGTGGATGGGTGGGGCCAGACCTAAAGTGTAAAACAAAAAAAAAAGAGCCAAAAAAAAATACTGAATCTTACTGGAGACGGCCTTGAAAGGGGGGGGGGGGGGGAGAGATCCGCTTTAAAGTATACTTCCTCTCTTGCAGACTAATTTTGAGAGAACCGATTACATACTTAGTTGGTTGAACTGGGTCTTTTTTCAAACTGGCTAAGATTTGAATCAATATCTCAATGAACACAAGAACAATTTACAAAATTTTGAGAAAACTGAGTTTTATAGATCATTTGTTTAGCTCATTACCTGAAAGTAAGGTTAATAATATAACTTAGATTACAAAATCTTCAGTTTTACTCAAATTAGATGATACAAAAATGAATACACCCCACAACAAAAAACTACTACATCTAGTATTTTGTATGACCTCCATGATTTGAAAAGACAGCCCCAAGTCTTCTAGGCATGGAATGAACAAGTTGGCGACATATTGCAACATATATATTTTTCCATTCTTCAAGAACAACCTCTTTTAGAACCTGGATGCTGGATGGAGAGCGATGCTCAACTTGTCTCTTTAGAATTCCCCATAGGTGTTCGATTCGATTCAGATCAGGAGACATACTTGTCCACTGAATCACTTTCACATTGTTCTTCAGAAATTCAACAGTGGCCTTAGATGTGTGTTTGGATCATTGTCATGTTGGAAAAGTGCACGACGACCAAGGGCACAAAGTGATGGTAGCACTTTCTCTTTCAATATAGAGCAGTACATCTGTGAATTCATGATACCATCAATGAAATGCAGCTCCCCTACACCAGCAGCACTCATACAGCCCCATAGAAGGACACTGCTACCACCATGTTTCACTGTAGGCACCATTCATTTTTTCTTGTAATCCTCACCTTTGTGACACCATACAGCTTTGAAGCCATCAGTTTCAAAAACATTTATCTTGGTCTCATCACTCCAGAGTACAGAGTCTCAGTAGTTTTCTCTTTCAGCATGTGTCCTTTTTGCTTGAGGTGATTGTAGCCGTATTAGTGCATTTGTGACAGGGACAATTGAGTACTGTCCGTGATACTTTTTTTATTTGCACTAACATACAATTTTGAGGACAAGCTTTCGGGGAATGTCCCCTTCTTCAGGTCTAAGCAGTACTGAAACAAAGATTTAGCAGAATGTTGGAAGAGATGTAGGGGATGGGAAAAAAAAAAAAAAAAAAAAAAAACAGAAATAAGTTTTATGACTATCAGCTCAAGCATGACTGCCTCTGCTAGTGTTGTCTCGACCCCCCCCCCCCCCCCCCCCCCCCCCCCCGACTTTCCTTTTGCTGTATCTTATCTCTGTTTTTTTTTCCCATCCCCTACATCTCTTCCAACATTCTGCTAAATCTTTGTTTCAGTACTGCTTAGACCTGAAGAAGGGGACATTCCCTGAAAGCTTGTCCTCAAAATGGTATGTTAGTGCAAATAAAAAAATTATCACGGACAGTACTCAATTGAGCATGTGTCCTTGCAAATTCTAGGTGGGCTTTTTTGTGCATGGGCTTTAGGAGAGGCTTCCTTCGTGGGCAACACTCATGCATGCCATTCCTCTGTGGTGTACACCGTATTGTCATGGGAAACAATCACCCCAATTTGGCTTTCTACTTCTTAAGCTAACTGCAGTGAACTTGCATGGTGGTTTTCTTCAACCTTTTTCACCAGAAGACACTCCTCTCAAGATGTTAACTTCCGTGGACTTCCTGGAAATCTCTGTGAGATAGTTGCAGTTCTATCTTTGTTAAACTTTTGTATTACTTTTGCTACAGTATTCTTACTGATAAGTAAAGCTTTGCTGATCTTCTTGTAGCCTTCACCTTTCTTGTGTAAAGAAATTATTTTCTTTCTCAGGCCTTGTGAGATTTCTCTACCATGTGGTGCCACTGCTGACAGCATGAAATGAAAAGGTGTTTTCTTTAAGTAACACCCTTTTATAATCAACTGTCTTCTGGACACCTGTTTAATGAATAATTAGATTCACCTGTATTTGAATTCTTGTTAATTAGAAGTAAAGCTAAATTTTAGACAACAAAATCCTAAGACTTTCATTTGGGTGTTTTCTTTTTTGTATAGTGGTCTTGAGTGAATTGGTTAGGAAAAATACTTTTTTGCGTTCGCAAAGTAACAAATCTTGCTTGCAATCAATGCCCCGCATTTGTTGGAGTATTTTTTTAGTATAGAGTCCCATAGAAATTGTTGATTCTGAAAGGAAAGTAAAGGTTTTCTGGCAAATCTGTTGGGGTGTACTCCTCTATACCGAGCACTGTGTATGTGTATATGTGTGTGTGTGTGTGTGTGTGTGTGTGTGTGTGTGTATGTATATATATATATATATATATATATATATATATATATATAAAAATATACACATACATACACCTTGCTGATCCCCCAGGAAGCAGTTGGTTTATTTCCCTATAAATGTTTAATCCTGTTCTATTTTGTGCAAATAGGAATGCACCCTGCTCTTTATTTAAATGATCTTCTGGGCTGGCTAGCACTAGTTCTTGGGGGGAGACTGTTCCATATTTTCATAGCTCTTACTGTAGAGATGCCTTTCCATGTATGGAGGATAAAATCTCTTTTCTTCCTGACATAGAGGGGTTTATTTACTAAAGCTGGAGAAAGGGGTCTTATGGACATACAAAGGTGGCTAGGGAGCAATCCACACAAGTGCTCCCTAGCAAACACCTTGCTATAGTGTGCACTTGGCAGGGGGGAGGGGCCAGGTGTGCCAGTGGGGGACATGAGAAAAGGAGTATAGGGGCTGCTCTGTGCAAAACCATTGTTTGTATGTCATTTAAAAATAAAAAACGGAAGGTTTAGAATCACTTTAAAGAGCATAAGAAAAATGATTTCTGCACACCCGTGGGACATTATTTTTCACAACCAGACCACAGACATAAATGTTTTAGTTCTTGAAAGGAACTTCAAAACTATTCAGGCAAGGAAAACCTTTGAACTTAGAAAAATTCTATTTCACACAAAAGATAATGGGCTAAATGTGGGCCTCAATTTTCTAAATCCCTATCCAATAGTTTTATGATCACCCTAACCTCTGGGACTGTTGGCACTCCCCCTTTCTTATCTCACTAACTGTTTAATTAACATTAACTGTGTCTTTATTTGTACTGCTTGGACCTTGAAGATGGGGGTACACCGCTTGTTCTCAAAATTTGGTTGTTAGTGTAAATAGAAAAAAGTATCACCAACAGTACCCAATTGTTTATGATGGAGATAGTAACATCTAGATATTCAGTCTGCAAAAAGTCAAGTACAAAGCTCGTGCTGGACTTTTTTTTAGGCAGACTGGCATGTATGGCACACATATCCTGCATTGAATGTTCATTTGGCCATACAGTACAGTGATGATGTCACCAGTACATTTACAAAGTAATTACTGTGTTTACAAGCACGTTTGATGCACACAGTGTGATTTTATTATGCCCTTTGTGGCTATTGAGGAATATAAACAAATGAATGCTTTTGTGTTTTATAAAGTTGCTTGGGAAATGTATATTGTGTGGAACAGTTTGCACCACAGCAATTTACACTTATTGCCACTGCGGGGCGCTGGCACACATCTTTGCAATGTGCTGAAAACCAAAGGTCATACTTTACAGTATCGATTCTAGCAGCTAGTAATGTGAATCAAAGTTATGCATTTTGTATTGATCTGCATTCACTTTTTTCTGTTTCTGTCATCAGGTGGCTACCATCCTGTGAAAATAGGCGATCTTTTTAATGGCCGATACCATGTGATCAGGAAGCTAGGATGGGGTCACTTTTCCACTGTTTGGCTCTGTTGGGATATGCAGTAAGATATTTTATTTTTTTTAATTTAACTTACAACTGCTGTTAACCCTTTGAGGACCAAGGGACGTATTTGTCCCATGTTTTTAATTGCGTGTATCATCTGATTAAGAACTTAAAACTCTTTTTTTTTTTTTTTTTTTGGTTTGAGTCAAAATATTAGTTCTTCTCAACAAACAACAAATGGATCTAGCTTTTTGCCAATTATTTCATGAAATGGCTTAGTTACAGCAACTGAAATGTACGAACTTTAAAAACAAAACAATTGATTCTTTTGGCAGTCCAAAATCTTACGGTCCTCAAAGGGTTAAAGCTTCAATACTATGCATTTGAAAAAAAAAAATTTCACTAACGTTTCTTATGTAAAGAGGACTGGCTAGCTGCATTGGATGTGATGGTGCTATTGTTTCTTTTTAGTAGAACTCCACACATTTACTTTGTGAGGAAGGCTAAAAGGTTTCGATGAGTTATTTAAATATTGCATAGTATTCATTGAAGTAAAACAAAGGCTCACGACAGATATGTTTGTTTAGATACCAGACATTGTCTTTCCCTTAGATTTAAAGTGCACACAATTACATTTTTTTGCATTTTAAGAATTGTAAGCCATTTTCTGTTTTATTTCCAGGGGGAAGAGGTTTGTTGCAATGAAGGTAGTAAAAAGCGCACAACACTACACGGAGACTGCTTTGGATGAAATAAAGTTACTCAGATGTGTAAGTGAGATCTTGCTGCCAAAACTGGGAGTTGGGAAGAAAGGTCAGAACTAAAATATTTGGTTTTTTGTTAATCTGGAAACACTCTGAAATGGTAAATTACAACCAAACTGTGGACAAATAAGTTTTACGTTTTTAATGTAATTTAATTTCTGCTCTGTATTACTTAACCTGGAAGACTGAGGACTTTCTGTGAGTGCAGGGTATCATGACCTGCCCCCAAAGTGGCATCACCATGATACCTATATTTGCAGTATCATGACGTCAACTATAAAGATGCCTCAAAAGGTAAGTGTGGAAAAAAAAAAATGGCATAACCTACTGTTGAGGGCAGGAAATCCTGTTGAATAAGCCACAAGAACCATCGATTTGCCGGTGTGCATGCATACATTATGTTTAACTTGCAATTTCAGAGTGTTTGCATTTAAACATATCAGTGATATTTCACTGATATCTCGTAGAGAATATTGTGCTCTTTTTAAAGAGGTTTCAGAGACTGTGCAGATTGCCCATTTACTGTATTCTCTAAAAGATGCTTCTATGTGTACCAGGCAGCAGCAAAGAAAGCAAAAGCAGAGAATGTGAACATTGGCATGCCTTTGGGAGGGCTGCAGATTGCAGCATTTGTGGACTCTATCAGCTGTTCTCTTTTTGATTAGGGTAAAGGCTAGGGCAGTTTTATTAAAAAATAAACTAATTCTGTAAGCTCAACAAACCCATTGTACAATAAAAATATTAATTACTCAAAAAAACAACTGAAGCATCTCCTCTACTTTGCTTCCAACAGCATTTATTTATTGTTATAGGTGCACCTGAATAATTACAAGTTGTACAATTTAATACAGAGAATAAGGTCTTAATTGAGGTTTGCGATATAGATTTTTGGCTGACCGTTTTACTAAAGGCATCTTATCTATCCTAGTGGACCTAGTTTTGCGCAGTCCTTTTTACTTTTGGTGGTTCCTATTAAACTGTATAAGATTCTAAAAAATAGCTTATATTCAAGCATGAATTAAAATTAAAGCAGGTGTAAAACCAATAAAAACAACACAATAATGCATGCTCTTAACACAGTAGTAAACTTTGATTAAAAATAAATAAATATGGCCCCGGATGGTTTAAGCCACAATGAGCTAGTGTGCATCGCATACTAGCACATTATGGCATACTTACCTTAAAACGAAGTCCTCCAGCGGCGCATTGTCCCTACTGACAGGCCTTCCATCTTCAACTGGTCTTCCAGGTTCGTGGGCTCCAGTCCTTTGGCTGAGTTGCAATGACGTTACTCCCCCGCTCTGAAGAGACTGTATTTTTATGCCGTCCCTTCAGAGCGCATACGCCAGTGACGTAATTTGCTGCATTCCTGTGTGAATATCTTCTAAACACCACAGGTTTCCCTGTACCTACAAGTAAGCCTTAATATACACTTACCTTTAGTTAGAAGTTCAAAAGCAGAGTTTACTACCTCTTTAAAATGTTTAAAACCAATCTCAAATCAAAAAATCATAACCTCAGGATCTCAAATATATTCATGTATGTATGTTTTGCATTTATCTTAAAGATGCAGACATGCTTTGTGTTCCCAGTTCAGCATTTCCTCTTACTTATGTCTGATCGATACCCCTTGGAAAAAGGCCTACTGAAGTTTTGCAAGTTAATTTGCCTCTTTCCTCTTGTTTGGACAGTAAAGGAGCAGAAGAATGTTGATGAGGTCATCTCCCTGCTTACCACTTCTGAACTCATGTTCAGTGCTAGGCTGAAAGACACTGTCCAAAGGAAAAAGCCCCAATTGGCTGACTTCTATTGCTGTTTCTCTTTCTCCCAATATATGTACAGCTGAATATCAAGTAGATCCTGATATCACAGGTGTGATATCAGGATGTACAGCTGAATATCACATGATCCTGATATCCATATCAGATATCAATGTGATCCATAAGCTAAGTATTTACGTATAGAAAGATTTTGCAGTCTTGGTTTAATGCAATACTTATTTTCAGCAGAATAATAAAATTTGTTATTTTTAAGACGTAATGGCTTTTTCTCTTCCAAGGTGCGGGAAAGTGACCCTGGAGACCCCAATAAAGACATGGTGGTACAGTTAATTGATGATTTTAAAATATCTGGAATGAATGGTATTCGTATCCTTTACCATTTTACATACAGTATGTTGAAGATTGACCCTGCTTTTTATTTTTAAGAGAGTAGAAAGTAAAAAAAAAAAATGTAAAACTTGCAAGCTTTTCTTTTAGCTTCTCTTTTAGCTTTAGGCATGACATTTCAGTATGTTATAAACTTTGGAGGACACTGTGCAGGACAAGGCTGTAAAGAAAAACAAACAAAAAAAACATACAGATAATCCTTTCCTGTTTGGCAGCTGGTGAATCAAATCTTCATTTTCTTTAAGAGATGAGCTCTTCTGTGATCTGAAACTTCTGGGTGTGTTGGATAGCGTGTTCGTGACTGTGTGCTGCATTAACCCACCAGCAGCTGCTACTTCTGGTGTTCCTTGGTGACATAGCAGTGGATGAAAGGTGCCACAACACCTTTCTGCCTTGTTTTTTTTTTCTCTTGCCATTACCTCTAGCAACCTGCACCGTTACCCATAGCGACCCACGTTATTACCTATTGCAGCAGTTTGATTTTGAAATGAAGTTCTATCACTTACTGACATTGTGTTTTTCTTTTTTTTTTGTCTCTTTCCAGCTTGTATGACAACCTGCATCATTGTTTTAATCCAGTATGATATATTTTAGATTTGTTTGGATATCATTTATTAGTGAGCACATTTTATCATTGCTTGTGTCATTATTTTTTTTTTTTTTTTTAACAATGTAATTTTATTAACAGCTGTGTTGCATTGTGTTGGCTTAGTACCTTTAAAAATTGAAGTTTGTTACACCCTTACCCCTGCTATGATTAAGGCCCACACAAGGCTGAAACATGTAAGCAAGGAAGGACACTTGTTTTTTTAATACTGTATTAAATTATGAGTATTGTGATCCCACTAGCCTGTGCCAGTCTACAACTTCATGCCACAACGTCTTTCTGTCTTAATCTAATGGGTCGCTCAGTGAGCAATAAATGCAGCTTTCCTTTAAAAAACATCTAGAAGACATAAAATGATGACCACGTATGAAGGCAAGAATTGAGAAAGGGTTTCTTGTAGTACCTTGTTTTATTCAGACCTAGCAAATTATACTGTTATCTGCTTTGTGGGTCTTTGCTTAATGCTTTAAAATTTGCTGTGGCTAATCCTTCTATCTTTTTCTCTGGACAACATGCGAGTTGTTTTTTTTTTTTTTTGTTTGTTTGTCTTTTCTCATTAAATCATATTAAAACTATTTATTTGAACTACAACTTCTGCACGTTTTGTGTGGTTAATCACCTTAACTTGTTTCCAGACGTCTGTATGGTATTTGAAGTTCTTGGACATCACTTATTAAAATGGATAATAAAATCTAATTATCAGGGTCTTCCCATTCGCTGTGTGAAAAGCATTATTCGCCAGGTAAGCTGTTTTAAAGCTGATATTCAATTTGCTTATATTTTCCTTCTTTGCTAACCCCCTCCCCCTAATAACACATTAATGACTTTTAAATGTAATCATACATTACAGAACACAGGCTGTGTATTCATGGATCCTGAGTTATAGGCTGCAAAGTTCAGGTGATTGAACACTGGCAAAAGCTTTTCTGGGCATAACCCCCCCCCCCCCCCCCTCCCCAGGTATACTCCTGTAACTTCACCCCATTCCATGAGTCCTCTGGGTTTTTTTTTTTTTGCTAGTGTCTTTTGAGAATGAACCTCTTTTGCAGTATGGCAATGGTCTCTATGCTTAGCCAGGTTTCTTTTTTTTTATTTTTTATTCTTTAATCAACTCTTCACTGCTTTCTATAACAAAAGAGGCAGTGCATCTGGACTGGTGTAACTTTGTAATATTTTGGAAACTCTGTGAGGGTTGGCTTGTAATGTTGCTTCAGGCATTAGTTCCTGCTTGGGCACTCATCTTGACAGTGAGTGCAACAAGTGTAGTTAGCTGCTTCATGGTGCGATACAGGTTCAGGGCCTTGGTTCTATGTTCATAGGTCCTAAAACCTCCTATGATGGTGTGCCCACCGTGACAGGAGAAGCCTGGACCCATATAGCGACCAGTGACATGGAAAAGTAGGACAGGTTCAACCTGGTTGTCAGATAATTACTGTAGCTTTACAGCAACTATGACTCAGTATCTCCACTGCCTTCAGTACCTTAAGTGTTCCCTGAATAGAATTTGCTTTGTGCGCAACTATCAGGAAACTGGAAATGTGTTTGACTTTATTCACTTATTGGGTGTTTCAAACTTGGCAGCAAGAATTCCACCATTCAGAGCTCAGGTGGATGACTATTTGTTGCATAACACCACAAGTTGCACTTTTATCATTGCTTCAGCTTAGAACCTTTATAAGGTACTCAGGCACTTCCTCCTGCTCTTTTGCCATGAGTCATTACAGGATGGTTGACACCTGGTTTGCTGTGTATCATTCTACAGGCACACAGTCCATATCTTCACTCTACTTCTTGAGTACCCCATGTAATGGTAGAAACCAGGTGCATTGGAGTCACGGCACTCACTCACGCCACTTAGAGAAATATTTGTTTTTCACCGAAGCAGGACTGGTTCACCCTGGTCTCTGCATCTGATTCTCAGGCATGCAACAAGCGGCCTATCTGGCCAAAGTAGATTTCTCTGCAACTATGACAGCCTTTCTCTGATAGTTCAGAACAAAACTAAAACCCATGTGGATTTTTTTTCTCTTCAGTTTTTACAGATGAAAAAGTTGGGTTTGATAGACTTTAACAGTAATATTAACTATGTTTCACCAAAGGTACTGTACCTCTGTGATTGACTGAAAACCAGGTACAAAAGATACTTGAAAAAATTAATGTGAACAGATCACCAGCTCCAAATGGCTTGAACTGGGTACACACGGGCCAAAAATCAGCCTCAAAAATAGTCGGTTTGGCAGGAACCAACTGACATTTGGTCCATGTGTACAGCTGTCTGTTCTACATGAGCCGGTTTTACGACTAGCTTCTGTTAAATGAGCATGCTGGGAAACCAGAATCTGATGTGTGTCCTGGCACAGGAAAGGGGGGGGGGGGGGGGGGCGGACAGTCTCCCTGTCAGAACACAATGGCACAGCGGGGGAGATCGTTGCATTAACATCACTGTAGTATGGCAATCTCTCAGGTTTTTTTTTTCATTCAGCCTGATGGATTGAACAAAAAAAACTTTTAGTGTGTACCCAGCTTTACACCCATCCAAAGAGAACTTAACTCAGTTAAAGTCAAGCCGCTATTTCTAATTTTTAAAGACACATTACTGACTGGAATTATGTAAGCTGATTGGTGTAGAGCAGCAAATGTACCAGTTTACTAAAAAGGACTGAGATGTACACCCAGAAACTACATACCCAGTCAGCCTCACATCAGTAGTATGTAAGGTAAGAAACTCTATATAGAAATTTGTCTGTGATATAGTATCATGAGTGACAACAATATGGATTTATGAAACACTGTTATTATCAGACCAATCTGTTATCGTTCTGAGGAAATAGGTAAGAAATTGGATGGTGAAGGTCCAGTGGCCATAATTTATCTGTATTTTGCGAAGGCATTTGATTCTGTACCTCTTAAGTGTTCAATTTATAAAATAAAGTCTGTTGAAGTTGTATGTACATGAATCGGAAGCTGTCCAGAGAGTAATGATAGATGAATCTCTCTGAATGGTGTGAAGTTGCACTCCCTGGGTCATGTCGGATACGTCCATGTGAGCGGCACACTCTCTCACCACCGCCACCTTTCTTCACCGATCCTGTCGACACAGCAGAACAGGGACATCCACAGACTACTAAGGAACTCCCACGGCAGGTGGTATGGTCAGAATTGGGCAGCATGCGCCCAAACTGCCTGGGGATTAGCTTCCAGTTGGATCCCCCCGGAGCTTTCAAGATGGCTGCAGTCTGGCAATGCTCACTCCTCAGAGGGAGAAGTCGAAGAAGCTAGTGGTGAGTGTTCCTTCCTCTGGATCCGGTAAGAAACACCTCTCTGGTGGCTCCTCTACCAAACAGAAACCCCCCATCACTATCAAGGAGCATTTTTCATGGTCGCTTGTCTCCCCATATGCTAGCTTCTCACATGTCTCCTGAGCCTACTGTTCCAGACCTAGTGGTGGTGGGGGGTTTGGGGGGGAACAAGATGTGGGGAACCATGCTGTTGCTTGCTCTTCTATCCAGACTGCATCTCATGACACGCACTGCTGCTGATCCCCCAGCTGAGGCTGATCTGACCCTGAAACATGTCATGGATGCGATTTCAAACCTGTCAAGCTGCCTTAACTACACAGATGGACATTCAGAAGGCCTGCATTGCATGACCAATAATGAAATGAGGATTAGTGATGTGGAAAATGCTATTGATCCTTTAGACGCTGAGGTCCGTTCTGCTCAACAACACCTTGCTGATCATTCTGCAAAATTGAGCAACTTAGAGGATCGTCTCAGATGAAATAACTTGCAATTCATTGGTTTTCCCGAGGGAGCGGAGGGTAAGGAACCAAAGCAATTTATGGAAAACTGTCTCAAGTCTTTCAGGCCGTGGAATGCACTTTCCTCTTTGTTCGCAATTGAGTCCCATTATGTCCTTTGCTCTCAGGAGCACCTCCTCGTCCTATCCTGCTGAAACTTCTGCATTACCTGAATAAAGAGGCCATACTTCATTCTGCTCACTCTTTGGGTGAGATAACCTGCAATGGTAGCCGCATTTCTATTTTCCTGGATTTTTCAGTGGTCACTCAAAAGCAAAGAGCGGTGTTTACTGCTGTCAAACATTAGACTTCAGGACAAAAACCTATCATACAGTATGTTGTATCCTGCAAAACTCTGTGTGGACAGTAAAGTTCACTTCTTAACCTCTCGTGCAGATTTCCTTGAACACCGCTTTTCTTATCAGCCACTACTTATCTTCCTCCTGTTCCCTTCTCCAAGCTATGGATGGTAATGCTGGTACCTAACAAATTTTTTTTTTTTTTTTGCTGTCTGCTGTGCCATACTACTCAGTTTTACAGGAGCTGCTGGTGGACAGTTTTTCAATGCTGCTCCTTGGTGAATCAAGTTCTTTGTTTACACTGTGATTTATCCAAAATTTTTGTTTTTCTTCTAGGGATTGTTACAACATCTCCCTTGCGGGATCCTTTTGGTTATGGGTCAAAGCCCACTGAGTGTTTATTGGTTGGGCTGGGTGGGGGTCTGGGTTTTTCTGTTTTTGTAGTTTGTTCTAACCAGAGTAAGATTCACCTGTTTGCTTATTTACCTATTGATTGTCACCTTTGTATGGTAGGTTCTCATCCCCAGACACATAGCTCTGTGATCCTACAGTTATTGCCTCATACAAAGCTATGGCGCTTAATTCCTGTCCTTGAATGTCCGAAGCCTCAATTCCAAAATTAACAGGTCTCTAGTGTTCGGCCAAATGAAAAGAGCCAAAGCACGTATTATATTAGAAGAGACTCGTCTTACGCTCTGAAGCGTCCCACTGTTGCCCATACTTTTCACGCCACCTACTCCATCTATTTTCGGGGGTTCTATCCTAATTACCAAAGCCCTTTTGGTGCAGATTGAAGAGGTGGTATCTGACCCTAATGGTTATCTTTGAATGGACTCCAGAATGACCTGCTGGAGGAAAGAGTTTTGATATATTCTGATGATTTGCGCTTATACATTTTTGACCCACTGCATAGTATCCTGGCTGCTTTAGAGCTTATTCAGAGTTTGGACAGTACTCTGGGTTCAGGATTAACTGAACAAAGTCCTGCATTTTCCCCTTACATAAGGATCCCTCTCTTCCATTGCCTCCAGCCTTCCCTCTACAGGTTAAAAACAACTTTAGATATATGGGAATTGATATTCAGCTTCCACTGGCAAAATATTTTAACAATAATGTCTTACCGCGTATCTCCTCTTTTCGCACCAAATTAATTCAGTGGCTAAAGATGCCTCTCGCTCTATTGGGGCGCGTAAACCTTTTTTAAAATGGTTTTCCTACCAGAATGTCTTTATCTTTTAGCTAATTCTCCCTATCTATATCCAGAAGCTTCATTTTCAAGCAATAGAATCTCACCTTTCCTCATTTCTGGGGCTCCCTGGCTCTCCTTGGAGACTACAATTCCCGATCTCCAGGGGTGGTCTGGCACTCCCCAACCTACACCTTTATTACTTTGCTGCCCAATTATATCTGGTGGCTTTTTCCACAGATGAGAAATTCTGTTGCTTAAGCTGATTTTATCTCCTATGAAGCTTTGGGTAACCTCATTTATTACGCATAATCAATACCTCATAGAGGACTGTAATTCTGAAGACCTAATTGAAAATCTATAGTTGTCTGAATATCCTTAACAAAGCCACTCACATCTGTTCCCCCAACCAAACTTTGAGGTTTAATCCCCGTTTACCTCAATTGTATACTTTATCT